ATGACATTTCAGGCATGTAGTCTGTGACCCTGCATGGGCAGAGGGAACAGATGCTTTCTAAATATCTCTGTCTGCTAACTGACAGTTGTCTTCCAAAGGAGGACTCCTGTGAATTTTTCTAGCTTCTTTTCAGTACAAAAATAATACAAAGGTGCAGTGTTCATCCATCTTGACAAAATGTAGTTGTACAATCTTTAAAAGGAATACAACCGGAGGTTGAAAAACTGCTCCTGGGACTCCTTCATATCTCTTCAGCTAGACCTAAAGTTCAAAAAAAATACCATCCCTCCCTCCCCATTGTGATTTATCATTGCAGCTCTAGCTAGCAGTTTTGGGGAATAATCTAGAAAATCAAAACTATAAATGCAGAAGGAAAAAGTTTTCTCTTGCCTGTCCCTTGTGTAATTCCTAACTAAATAAGAGGAAAATAAACTTTGAAGCCAGCTTTTGAAGTGTTCTGATGATGTCAGATGCAAGCCACTACACCAGATGCCTCTAAAGATATATTTATTGGCAGGCACTCAAGTGAATCATAAAACTGGATTAGTAAAGCATAACAACCAAATAAAGCTTAAAGTAGCAACTCTCAGGGTAAGATACACTTAAAAAATCTTAATTTGGATCAGTAGGATCCAAAAGAAGCCATACAGTGGCTGCCTGCAAACGCATACATCTTTATTGTCCACTAGAAACAGAGATTTCTGGTGTTGTGCAAGTGGTAGCACTCTGTGTTGGTTTTCCCCATTTGTTACCTACTTTGGCTGCTGTATCCCTGTTTCATGGGGAGGTTTCGTTCTCAGTTTGTCCAACTTTTAGAACATACATGCTTACGTATGTCAAAGTATTGTTAGATTGAAGTCAAAGCTGAATAGGATCCTGCTGGTTGTCTCATCTTTTGCACACTTAAAGGGATGCTAAGCCAAGATGAAGGAAATTATGTTAAAGAGTGGAGAGAGTGCACATTGCCCTCCTTCTGTGAGAGATAGTGCAGAGCAGAAGATGAGATGCAGCAAAGGGAACCAAGTCTAATGTGGGTCTGGCATGGCTGAGAAGATGGATGAGACTTCCCCCTCAGGACTGAACACACCACTCCCTGCCTTGCCTACACCACGTCTGGTGTTCAAGGAAAATGCCGAAGGTGGTTTAAACAGATCCCTTTGCTCTGGGTCTGAGACAGAGTAAATGTGCTCACAGTACTGCCTGCAGCTGCTAAGTGTTTTTGGGAAACGGCTTTTTACTGCTTTCCAGCAGAAACACAATACCTGATTGTATCAGTGTGTATGGATTCAGCACATACTAATGCATCAAATGCTGGTGCAAAATTACTGGTTTGGGAGGTATGCCATGAAGGAGCTTAATTATACAGACAGCATAATTATACAGCTGTTACAGATATGCCTGTAAAGTGCAGTTTAAAACAGAGAGCTTTCAAATACATGCTGCAATTCTTTTTCTCTTTATACCTTCTGAATGGGAGGCAGTATGGGCTAATCTTGCAAATTTAAATGTTGGGGAAAGTATTTGTCTCTTTTATTTGTCCATTTCTGTGGCTTGTACGCTTACCCATTTAACCAATTTCAGTGGAAAGGAGACATCCAGAGTGGCAGATAAAACATTTATTAAAGTATATTTCCACAGCATGGTGCACAGAGGCCTTAAGCGAAGGCTATAAAAAGTTAAGTACCAGTTTGTAGTATAAGTCTTATGGCCTTTGCTTCCTTTCTGATGCAGACTGCCTGCAGTCAGAGAAGGCTCAGGCAATGCTATTAAACAGTGATAATCTGAGATTTTGGAAGCAAAAATGCTGGGTTCCTGTAATTTAAAATCTTGCAAGTTAAGGAAAAATGTCTACTAACTGTAAGAGTAATTGGGCTTATTTCATTTGGAGGTCTGGTTCTGAGAAGCCATTTATCTGCAGGTCTGCTACTCCTTCCACATGGGGTAGGAGAAAAGCACTCTTCCAATACAACTTCCACCTCTTCTAGAGAGTTGTGTGATGGACGTGTGTATCAGGCTAAAGAGCAGACCATGTGTTGTAACCAGGAACGTGCTCGAGGAAGGGGTTAAGATGATGGGGTATGTTTCTATGGATGTTTCTACATGGATGTTTCTATAATTCAAGCTACCTCCTTAAAACAAGGATATCCGATCCCAATGGACCAGCTGCAAATTAGGGAAAAGAAAAGGTGGGGGGAAGGAGTGGGGGAAAATCTCTGATCTCATAGGAGTGATTCACAGTAGTGTTTAAAAGGGTATTACTGAATGCAGTTGACACTGTATCCACGTGTATATAAGCAAAACCATTACATTTCTCAAGCTTTATTCCCTCCTTCACTCCCTCAGCTAAAGCATCTGAGGGCAATCAGCTTGATCAGCCTGCCTAGGAGAACGCAGCATTTAATCATTATGCTGAAGGGACAAATGCAGTAAGAACACACAATTAGACGAAAAAGGGTTGAAATTCTGGCAGAGAAGCTCAGATATTCTTTGCTATGGATAAAGATTCCAGCTGCCATTAATTTCGTTGCATTATCTTTTCATTGCAGATGTTTAGGGATTGGTTTTCTAAATTATAGAGAATAAAAGCATTTCTACCAGAGAAAAACAAATGTTATCGTAAGAAATATAATTGGTAGTGTAATAAAAGCTTTTGATACTCAAATATGTGAGAGAGGTATGGGAAAAGTAGAAAAAATTGCAAAAGCATTTAACTGAATAAAACCATGAACACGGTGACACAAAGCACTGTGTTTGCAGTTATGGTGCTTCTGAACTGAAAATGCTTAAGAATAAGTGATGGAGTTGAACAAATTTTGTCTGGTGATGTACTGATACTCAGTCACGAGCTGTTCATTAACTGTGTTGCCACCACTACTGAGAGCTGGTTAGCACTGGGGACGCTGTAACAAGACAGTTTGGCTAATGCATGCAGCTCCTGATAGTTTTATAAATTATTCTTGCAAACAGATTAAAGCCAATAAAAGAGTAATGTGACCATGCATAACTTCATGATGGCTTTTCCTGTCTCTTAGTTATTGGCAATGTGACCTTCAGCAGTGGTAAAATCCCTGATGGCTTTAAAACCTATTTTTTTATTTTTTGTTTGTTTGCTGTTTTGGTTATTTACATGGTCTTAAATATCAGAGCCTACACTGAAAATTTATTATCCTTTAAAAAAACAACAGCAATCCAGGTACGAATGGAAAGCACAAGTATTAAACTAGGGGTAAGTCTACAGGTATACTCGAGCCCATTACTAAGTAGAAGCACAGAGCTGCTGGGGGCTCATTTGTTCTGCTTCAAGGTGCTTAGGCTGTAGCTGGGACTGACTGAACTAGCTTACTTAGAGCTGGCGTGAGGATCTTGAACTACATGCTAGCATGCAGTATAAATAAACCATTAGTTTAAGATTAATAGAGGCTTGTAACCAGACATAGAGCGTTGAGCTTGACAGCTTACCCCTGGCAAAAGGGAATGCTAATGCAATGGGGCTTTTGTGACTGTCTCCACATGGTGTGTGCTGTGCCATGGAGGCACGTGAGTTCTCGTCGGGCAAGAGCTCAGATTTCCATCATTTTCCATGTAGTACAATGTTGACATAGCTCAGCAGAGGAATAACTGGAGATTTCTGAAAAACAAAAACTGAAAGAGCTAATCCACCTCTTTGGACCTTTGGACCTCCAGCTGGAAAATTTTAAATGGAAACAGCACCAAGGAGGGCTGTGTCTGTTTGGATCATATGTGGTACAGAGAAATATTTGCTCAGTACACTCCGGAGAGTGTACTAAACCTTCTGTTCAGAGCTGATCGCACTTTACAAACAGCTTGTTTTTGTTTTCCTTCCTGAAACTCCCTGTAAGGGGAAAAACAGAATCAGTTTCATAGGTATTTTTTAATTCCTTTTGCTTTTTTCCTCCTTACTAAATTGAATAGACAACTAAATTCCAGATGTTTTCTCTTCTTCCTCTGTCTTTTTACCTCTGCAGTTTAAAACAGCTCTCTGACAATATTGTCAATATAGTAGAATGCAACTGCTGAGAAAGCTATGAAGTTACATAATCAGTTTGTCTTTTATTTTTCCTCTTATACTTGAAATTCTTCCGTAGGCAAAGAAATCTTGACAAAACACGGTGACAACAACAAAGTGCACTCCACTGTGTTTGGTGGAAAACAACCAGTCTGACTTGGAAAATTTTCAGTTTTTAAAAACTGAATTAGGATGAAAGTTTTACTTTTTAAGTAAATAGAATGCCGTAGTTTAATTACAATTTTCTCTTAATTAATCAAGATAGATAAACAAACCTGTTCCTGGGAGAAAGAAAGAGTGAAGGCAAATTTATTTTATCAGTTCTAATCTTACAAGAACATGACTGAGATGATGGTTCTCCTTTTCTCCTTGAATGCTGTGTTGGTGTTCTACAAGGTTACTGATACATTGACAGTGCATTTGTTTCTTGGAGTACCTAATGCAAATAATGAAGAAATAAAATCCGTGATGAGCTACTAGAGGGTAACTGGTAGTGTCTGTTATTTGTTTTGTGCAAGTCTTTCGGCAGAGTAAAATCTATAGTGAGAGTGCAATCTGCCATGCAAACACAGCAAAGAGCTGTGTTATGAAAATATGCATGCATTTACCTATTTTGATCTGGTTAAGTTTCCTGCTTAAATCCCTCTATGAGATTCTGGCTGCTGTTGTGCTTCTGTCTGCTTCATGCTAGGTTTTACCAAGCAGGAGGCAAACTAATCCTCAAAAGGAGATGTGGGAATAACAAACTAATACTCAGGTAAATATGGGCTAGGACTTATCCCCAACGCATGCATTAAGGAGTCTGTAACTTGTGGAATTTAACTGAAATATTTCTTCAAACATCAGAAGGGCACTCCAAACCAGCTTGAGTGCCTTTTTTCACCCAACAACAAGACAAATTTGTTATGCATCTAAAAATAAGGATTTTAAAATTTTATTTAATATTATTTTTCTGTATTATGCTTTACTGCAGGTTGCTTACACCTTAATCTTCCACCGAGAGAAAGAAATAATCTTTCTGATTTTCACACGAATTGCCAGCAAACTTCATGAGGTACAGTGACATTTTATTTTTCTTCAAAGGCAATCAGTAAAACTTATATGACTGAAAAAGGTCACATTTTATTCTTAGGAGAACAGAAGTATCTTTGTTTTACAATGCAAGGAGAACAACAACTAGCTCCACACAATAAGACATATACACGTTTTATGTCATTTCCAGGCAAAATGTTAATTTAAATGACGAGTTCAATAATTCAAAGTGTGTATGATTAATATATAGTAGCTTTTATATATTTTTTAAGCTTTTATGTCTGTGATTATTTTCTGTCATTGAATCTTTATGTTTGTGACAAAATTAAAACAACTGATTATTGATGTCGTTAAAAAAAACACAACAAACAAATTTTAATTTGAAAAGGAACAAACATAACAGCTGGTGATCAGAGGTACATAAAATAAAAAAAAAATTACTTTCCTGGATGCAGACTGTAATTTTTTTTTTTGTTAAATAAGACTTTTACAGTTTTACTGTAAACAGTAACAGTAGTTTTACAGTTTACTGTTCTGTCAGCAGAAGGATCTACTTTGTGAGAGATCCGGGAAACAAATGGTAGATGTTCTTAAATGTCTTTGCATTATCTTGTTGTAGTCAGCCTAGCCTTCAGTGAGCATTTTTGTTTGGAGAAAATTCCTTTGCTATTTTAGAATCTGTAAATCTGAAGTTATTTACTAATTTTCCATGTTTAGGGATTTAGTTGCTCCTGGTTTAGGATTTGATTTTATAAACACTTGAATATAAGATTGGCTTTAGTGATTCAGAACTGTTACCTTGGATTATTAACATACAGAAGTTATTAACATACAGAAGTTATTAACATACAGAAGTTATTAACATACAGAGATTAACATTGCTGCATGAGGAATATTTTCATTAACTTCAAGATAGCAAACCACTACAAAACTGGTAGGAAAACCAGTTAGGTTATGGTGACCTCATAACGTTGTCTTCTACAAGCAGAAACTTCATCCTGATTGTTTGTTACATAGAAATGACATAGTTTGCCTTGATATATGTATGTATGTATGTGTGTATATATATATATATATATATGTATGTATGTATATAGACATATATTTTATTTGTTGGAATAGGGTGATAGTTCTGATGGGGTCTCCTGGGAATTTTTAAGATTGAAATAGTTTCTTTGGTTATTTACAGAAAGTTCATTTATAATGGTTAAGGCAGATGAGATATTCAAGTTGTTTCTTATATCTTGTGGGATAGCCTAGGGCTGGACTGAGACTGCTTGTGTAAGCTCCAAGAACAAGACAGCACATAAATGTACCACTTTGAGAGGGACCAGGAAAAACAAAATTGTGGATGGATCCTATGCACTCTTGGGGAGCTAGGTGTTTGCTAGATACCATCCAGCTCCATGGATTCAAATAATTGAATGATTCAGAATGAAATGGGAGAAGAGAAAGGCAAGGAACAAGTATTCTTGGGGGTGTATGAGTATATGGATTCATACTCTCCAAGCATATGAGACTTGGAGAGAAGTGAGGCAAATGATGTAACGAGGTACAGTTAGGTTGCTCCAGATGGGAAGAGACACGGAATAAATGAGCCTTGCCAGAACTGAGAGAAATAGAAAAGGCTTTTTATTGCCTCACAGGCACTACTGCAGAGCAACTGGCTTTCCTCCTACTGACTTACTGCTTTTTATACTGGCATGGTACAAGAGCAGTTGGTTGTCTAAAGTGCAGAGACATGGCAAATCTGGTCTGTGTGGAAGGATTTGAGCACCCATTGAGAAGAATAATTTTTTTTAAATGGTGGGAGTGGGAGAACGAGGCAAATAACTTCTTCCTTCTCCTGGAACTCAATTTATTGGTGGGACCAGGAAGAAGTGGGATGAAATGTACTTAGTCTCCTGCTGCATTCCTGTGCATATCTTTTTTTATTTTATTATTTTTTTTTCCCCTGGGTGACTGGCTGATATATCTAATCCCTTCATTATGCACAGGCTGAAAGCTGTATGCATCTGATGTTCAGATTCAGCTATAACTGTACTTTTGCTGGTGATTCCTCTGAAATTTCCACATTTTCATAAACATTATTTCTGTAGAGATAAGCATATTTTGTTGAGCTGCCTGACTTAGTTAGAGATAATCACTTCTACACGTCGATTAAAAAAAGAATTTGAAGTGTGGTTTGAAAACCTTAGTGAGAAATAATTTTGTTACTGAGATGTATGTGGCTGGTGAGTGTGTGATGTTCTTTGTAGCCTGACAATTTGGTAAGTAAAATGCCCACACAAGTTAGCTACTTGGCAAAATGATCTGCCTTTACAGCTGGCAAATTTAGCTCATTTACTTCCCTCTTCTCCTAATTCCATTTTTCCCCCATAGATTGTAGTTTCATCATTTATTCTCTCTATTTCAGATGTTTGATATAACATCATTTTATCTTTTTATTATTATTATTATTTTATTACACTGTTTTTAAGGAAAGCTTTTCTATTTTATGGCCAAATTCTACATGTAACAATAGGCAGGACATATACAGTAGCATATAAATGAGTGTAGACTTAACATTTTGGTCCTAAATCTATTTTGCTGATTACAGTAGGAGACCTCATGAGTATGTAAGCTCCATAGTCTGGCTTGCTGCCTTATTTTGATGGGAAAGATAGTAACAATATATTTGTTCTGTTTGCATTTCTGTAGCATAATGCTCCACATCTTTTGCGTAGACTGATCCATTCCTTTGCATTCCCAGTCTAGAGCCTATTCTGTTCTCTCACAATAAAATTGGAGTTGGGGAATGAGAAGGGAGGGGATGTTCAAAGCATTTTATTTCTTTTTCTCAAAGAACAATTGAGAGTGTGTATAAGAACAAAAGTTGAAGAACTTGCCCTGAATTCAAGGGGTGCATAGCTACCTTCTTTGTTAGAAGGAATTCAAATCATACCCTCTTGAAAAGACAGATTCCCTTCACATCAATCTAGTTTGTCTTGTTTAAAGCTTTTTAAATTTTAAGACTTTTTAATACTATGTTCTATGGATTTCACTAGATTGTGCAGAGGGAATAGGCTGCAGAACGTGATTTTAGGGTGCAGGGCAGCCAGATTTCTAAATAAAGCTCTAAATTGAACTAGATGAAACTATGCCTGGAGTTTAAATAATAAAAGTGAGGACAGATTTGCTTTCAGTACACCAGTGCATCCTTCTTCTAAATTCTTTCACAGCTGGTTATGAGTTTATTAACCATTCATCAGTACAATTAAGAGTATGCTTCTTGTCATCTGCCCCTGCTGTGCTGTGCAGATTGCAACATTGAGCATCATCGTTGCACAGCCCCATAAGCAAAACCAGCTTTGATCTGGGATAATGTATAAGGGGTTAAACTCTGCAGTTCAACAGTGATGCAGATGTGCAGACATGGGAAGGTTCTCTGTGGAAATGCATTTCAAAAGGCAAGTATGCAGCCTGTTTAATGAAAATACCATGATCTTGTGGGCTACCATGCTTTGAGCAGGCACTGTCTAGAGCAGTGCTGTACTGGAATGTGATGAACCTACTCTTCTCACAGCATGTGTGTACTCTACGTACATTCTCTTATAGCATTGTGAGCTTAACTCTTGTTACTTCTGAATTAGAGCATGAAGAGCTTTTTAGTAGTCACAAAAAAAATCTGAAGATATGCTGATCAAATGCAGTTCCCTTAATTCAGCTTGAGGATTAGATCACCAGCATCATTTTGATTCTGGTTTCTGTGTAAAGAAAAGTTTGGTAATTTCAGAGGGCACATATCTCAAACTTTTTCTTCTTTTGGACCTTAATCAGTCGTAAACAGCTCCGTTTTGACACTTCGCCCAAGCTGAAAATCCTTTAAACTCACTAGATGACTGGATGTAAGATTTCTGTGTGAACCCTACCACAGGACCTAACAAAATACAATTACTTATGCTTATTTAACTTCTTTAATTTGCAATCTGACATTTCTTAACTGTGCTTGGAGCCAAGATTTTTTCACAGTCTTAAAGCACATCCTTCTATGTTTTTGTATGAGTATGATATTTTATGAAATGCTTTGAGCTTTTACGGACTTTTTGGTATTAAAACCAATAAATTATTCAGAAAAGGGGATTTACTGTAAAAATTCCCACTGGAGGGAAAACTTATTGGGCTTTAAATATTAGCTAATTTTGCTCAAGCATTTGAATTGCCTTTTATTTGTCCTAAAATTGTTTTTTCCTATAGATGCTGATAAATCCCCTAGTACTTTATTTGGCACTAGCAAAACCCCTCTGTGCAATCCCCCAAACCCATTCTCAAAACTCAGAGACTTAAATGGGTCTGTGCCATCTGTTCCTCTTCACATTGGCAGCTCTGGCTTGACATCTGGTAGTTACAGAACTAAGCGTGAGCTTGTAATTGGAATTCAGGGATCATGACAGAGATCTCATGTTCCTTGTTCTAATAAAACTTCCCTATGCTATGTGATGTTGCAGGGATGCCGTCTGAATACTGCTGTATCCAACATGCTTGTGTTTTTGATGACTCATCTGGAGTATGTAAAAGGAAGCAGTTTCATGATGATTTTTGATGTACTTTTTCAGGTAGTGAATAGGACATGCTTTAATGCTGATACAAGTATTATTTTATTTGGTGTTATAACCTCACTATTTCTATAATCTTTCTCTGGATAAACATGGGCAATATGACTTCTTCCACTGGGAGAGCTTTTAGCTGAAGGATGGCAGGATTAATCCCTGATGAGGTACTTTGTTCATTGGTAAAATGAACATAAAATGGCTGAGAGCCTCTAAGGAGTAAAGCACATAGTATTTGGGGATTGGCAGTGTTATGAACTATGAAACTGAACCAGTTGTCAGTGAAGGGAGAGAAAAATAATGACAGTAAGAAATTAATTCAAAGATTAAGTTGGCTGATAGAAGGAGGAGAAAAGAGACGGCATGTAAGAGACCTGGGAATCAGTTAAGGAGTTGTGCTTCATTTCTTCTGTTTTTTTTTTTTTTTTTTTTT